TGCTTTCAGTCATGCAACAAAATACTAAAAAGCATTGTCCAAGCTTCCTGTTGAAATAGCAACAACACAGGAAAATGTGAAAGTCTTGTTAATAAACTAGAGTCATTGGGCATTTCCTCTCAGTCAAAGAACAAGCTGGAATTCAATGCGGAAACATCACTGGCAGTTAAAGCGTATACTTGTTGTTTTGTTGTTGTTTTGCTATGCTTTGTTTTTTAGGGAGAGAGTGGATAAGAACTGTATTAAAGGAAAAAAACACATTTTTTAAAATTCTTTTGTATTTTCTTCTCTACCAAAAGAGGTGAAGAGAGCTAAGGATACAGAGCAATGGCAGAGCACTTGCCTAGCATGAGCTAGGCTCTGGTTCAATGTCAAAGGCCACAAAAACATGCAAAAGAAACCATAGAGGTTAAAAGAGTTAAACAAGTCATCTTTTCTTTCTTACCTGCCCTGCCCTAAAGACAAGACAACTGAGTGCTGCTTTCTATTGATCAGAGATCTGTTCTTTGCCCATCGTACACATCAACACCACCCTCTATTTGCGTAGGTCAATCCTCCAGGTATGGAAGTTCAAACATTTCAGAGTAAGCGGAGGCACTAAACCACTGGCAGATGCCTTTGAATGCTGGGAAATAAATGGTCTAAAGGCAAGATGCTATAGCTTCCTAAAGGCAATTCGAGGCTTAAGTTCAGTAGATGATTTTCAGAATAAAATCTTGGCATGCCTTGACATAGTACTACTGTCTTTGTAAACAGTACAATGAAGCAATGAGCCCTGGGCTTATTGGCAGTGAAGATAAAGAAAGGTTGAAAATGAAAGAGAGACAAATATTTATCAAACAAATGCAAACAGAGTGAAAACAGGAACGGAAATTTTAATTCCAGACAAAGTAGATTTCAAGGCCAAAAGCAGGAGAACCAAAAGGTTTGGCAGGAGGTAGGGGCTTAACAAAGACCAAACGGTCCTAAGAAGCCACACACCTAATTATGAAACATCAAATAAGAGTGAGCAAACACTGCTGGAAAGTCAAGGAAAACAGAAAGAAGAGCAGTTGTTTGGAAGATTTGTACTAACTTGTCACCTAATGTAGGACAAGCAGAGAGAGAAGCCTAGGCAAGCAGAAGGGGAGTCCAAGCTGCAGAGAGATAATCAAGGTTTTCAATGCTGTCATCAATGTCAGTCCATGGCTTTAGAAATGATATAGTATGTTTTATCTCCAGAAGTTCAGCACGGGGGATACTGAGGATATGCTGTCATGCAGGATCAGAGGGGTTGCAATCAATTTTTCTACTGTATCCATGTTACTGGAAGAACAAACGTCCAGTGTAGGGGAAGTACCATGCTCAACAGCAATTCCTGCTTATTGATAAATTCTCCTAGTGCTCACCTTGTGAATTTCTAAAGTTCTGATCCTCAACATTTTAATCCACTCACATAGACAGCAGAACAATGCCAAATCCCTTTATATGAACATAAAGATGGTTTTGTTTCCCAACGTCATCTACACAGTCCAAATGAAAGACTTGGGGTCCATCTGATTTCCATGCATGTGACAGGCTACATGAGACTTTTCTCTAAAATAGAGCTGGAAAGAGTAGGAGAACAAGAATGGTTTGAGTGCTTACGGACAGTTCATAGCCCAAAGATTTATGGGCTCTGGATCCATAGAGGAAGATGGAAGAGAGTCTGGGCAGCCATCATAATGCAAAATGAGACTAAGAGACATCAAGCCAGCAGGCGCTCCCTCTCCCTACCGTTGTAGCTTCCTTCCTTCCTTTCTTTCTTTCTAAACCTTTGCATTACCTAAAGCATTCCCAATGCTTTAATTCTTCATTACATTTTCACTATATTATATCTCATCCTGGATTCATGTGGACAGCTTTACAGTGGTTTATTTTTTTTTAACTTGAATGCTTTGTAGACTTAACTTGATCCAACTATAAAATCTCAAGGTCTTTTACCAACTTTGTCTATGACCTTGACTTCTATTCCAAACAAACAATATGACCGTTCACATAGAAGAAAACCAAAGTAGCCCATATGTCTTCATTTCAAATATTCATTCTTCTGCCCCCACCTTCCCACTTCTGGAACTACAGGCCTGTGCTACCATGCCCTGTATATAGAGTGCTAGAGATAAAACTTGGACTTATTGATGCTAGGCCAGCACTATATCAGGAAAACTATATTCCACATTCACCCTGTTGTTGATTCTTGAAAAATGTAACAAGTATTTGCTTTGCTTTCCAATGCCATTTCTTAATTTAACTCCACTACACATTTGGCATTAGATTCTTAGTGTTAAACTCAGGTTTTCATTTTGATAAGAGTTTTTATGGTTTGTTTTTCTGTACTGTTGGTTTTTCAGTGGGATACAGAAGAAAAAATTTTCTCTGTACATAGAAAAAATATTAAATGTCACCATTGAGCCAGACTTTGGATTTCAGGATTTCAACTGAGATTTGATGCATCAATCAAGTTGAATAGAGTTATAGTGAAGGAGAGACAGGTTATGGATCATTAATAGTCAAATACAAAGTGGGTGACACATCTTATATTCTAGGCATCTATCAGCTCTCCCCTATCCATGTAAGTATTAATGGAATTTGAGTCATAAGGAGTAAGAAGAAGGTAGCTAGAAATTCCTTTCATGATAGCTAGAATTTGAGGGTTTCATGTGATGGGGTATCTACACATACAGCAATGATTGATGTAATTCTGCCACCAAAGGCTGCTATTTTATAAGTGCATAAAAATTTAAAATATATTCATGATAAAAAATACATGAGACTCTTTAGGTTTCTTGTGTATAAAAATTTACTATATCGTACTGGCTGCGAAGGAAAAGCCAATTTCCATGGCTCCTGTCAGTCACATGTGGTTTGGAAATGTTTATGCATTCCAGATGTACTCAGTGTAAACTAGAGAATCATATCGTATTTCCACTGGCTTGCGTGCACGCATATAAAACTTGTTTTTCTCACAGTGCCACATGAAAATACATGGAGAACGAGCCTCAGTGATCACAATTAATTAACTTCCTTCTTGAACTTTCACAGCTATGATGCTGAGGGCAATTCTGGTCCTTCATGTTTACAGAGACTGCAACTTCTGCTCTGTAGCTTTTCTTGTTCAATTCTGTTCCACAGCATGACAAACCAAACGCTGTGTAACATAAGTTTCTGCTACCTCCTGTGTATGGAGCCTTCTGCTAGGGACTAACAATACTCAGAAGGACTTTCATTGCAAGGAGCCCCAAGTTCAGTGTGAAAGATTACCCAGTAAACAGATTGTTCCCATGTAATGTGGTAGTCCCATTTGTACAGCTCATGTTATATATTATGACCTATGGAAACAGTGAAGAGTTGGACAGAACGGGCCTCCTGATGACTAAGTTTGAGATGACAAGGGCTGGACAGTATTCAAAAGAGTAGGAACATTGTGTGCACAGACTCATTGAGAACACATGATTCGAAGACCTGAAAGAAATGCTATGTGGCTTCAGGGCAGACATAGAGCCAATCCAGAAGATAATTTGAAAATACACAAGGAAGGGTTGAGGATTATGAGAGACTATATTTGAATTGTATACATCTTGTGTTGAGGATTGAAGGTATCTTCTCACTAAGAAGACATAAAAATCATGGATGAGTGAGCTAATGACATAATGTCCAACACCTAGATTGTCTCTTGCTGTATTCTGCTTTCTGACACTTAACATGGTATCTGGAATCTAGTTAATGCTCAACTAATGCTAGCCATAATCACCGCAAATAGTACATAGACTCTCAGATGTCCCCAGGGATTTGTATCTTTATACAAACTCTCTCCTTGATTACCAGCTAGACTTGTTGACTAATTTTTGGTTCATAAAATATGTAAGAAGTAGTGAGATATCCCTCCCATTATTAGGTTATAAAAATGATGTGGCTTCCCTCTTGGGAAATTTCTGTAATGCTTACCATTTCTGGGCCTCTTTTTCTTTTGGATCATTAGCTACCATGTCTAAGACACCCTAACAGTTTATGGGGAGTCTTACATGAAGCAAATTGGCTCACCGTAGCATGGGATATTGCCCACTGTTCATATCTATTGGGGTTATATCTTCTGAGACTACCAGTTGTCACAGCAATGGACTTTGAAGTGAATCCCTCAACTTCCTTTGAACCTTCAGGTAACTGTAGCCTTGGCCAACTGCTCAATTATCCTCTCTGAAGAGAGCCTAAGCCTAAAACACCTCTTTGAAGTGCATCTAGATTTATCACCCACAAAACTGTGTCATATCAAAATGTTGATTCACTACATTTTGGTATGGTTTGCTATCCAACAATAGAAAAACAGTGTATTCTACTGGTATTATCTACTCTGCAATGATCTCAGGTATGGCTTGTAGTATACCTGGAAGGGATATGGAGGTACTGAAGGGCTCTCTAATAGGCCAAAACATGGTAAACACAGACCTAAGAATGGCAAAAGTGGCACCAACAGGTTTTGTATTTTACCCTTCTGTCTCTTGCTAAAAATCATTAGATTACATTCTGAAAGCTAGTCCCCAAGGTCCATTCTCTTATTTGGCCACTGATTCATTCCCAAGACAAAACACCAAGGTCCAACAATCAAATCTCAGTATTTGGCTGACGCATCCAATGAGGATTTACCATCTCACTGTAGCACAGACTTCTCAATTTTCTCCTTAAAAATCCACTCCTGAGAACAATTTTAAAAAAATGCCTGCTCTTACTGCTGCTGTTGCTGTCTGCCTTTACATCTCCCCCACCCTACTTGTCCCCCCCCGGGGGGGCTAATAAATATCTTTTGTGCTGAGGACTTGATGTCTGGATGTGTCCTGTACCAACTCTTGGGGGGATAACCTCCCTTATAGGTACTGTAGAAGATGATGGAACATTGCTTGGAACTCCAGCTTTTGTGATTGGGTTCTGAGTAACCTAGCAGGTGGTTCCACATCTCTCTCCGAGGAAACACATCTGTTACACTTTGGTTCCACTAATCTATTAGACTACTGATAAAATCATTATATCCAAACTGCAGCACAGATTGTTTAATTCAAAGTGTTACTTTGAATAGGTAGGAATACTTTGAAGTATAGCCCTTCTCCTAGCTGCTGAAAAGGATCCAGGGACACTCATCTGTCTCGATGATGAAAATCACAAATGTCTGCAGAAAGGTACATACAGTTCATAGATTCCCAACGTCCATATGTGACTCTAAATGATTATGTGATGTGCCGCCTTAGCAAGTACTTCTTAAATTTTCTGTATACACTGTCCAGGTGGGAACAAGTGGATAAATATAGATTGCTTGAGGAACATTGAGTTTTTGGCACAAAACTTTTGGCAGTTTATATAACAATGTTGATTTGAAGTCAGTGCCTTTATATGTAAAAAAGATGTTAAGACTGTGTAAAGATGTTAATATTTACCAAAAAGAAAATGTTATAGTCAACTAAGGAAAGAAAAAAAAAATTTGAAAACCCAAATCTGACTTCTACATTATTTTTTGCTTGATTCTTAAGTCTTTTTTTTGGTAGTTCTTAAATCCTTTTCTGTTAATGATTAAGCAACTGCTGTACAGCACTATAAACCTAAATAGTAGCAGTATGTTATATTCATAGGGAATCGGGAGAAAGGGAGATGTTAGAAGCTAGCTCGGTACCTTTGTCCCTGATGGTTTTGCTCTGGGTTGCAGTTACTGGGAGCTGAAGAACTGGTGTGGGAGGATGTCCTTAGAGCCACTGCTGAGATCCCCACCAAGGGGGATGACAAATTCAGCAGCACGGACGAGGTGTGGTGGGGGTAGATACTCGCATGGTGGCTCACATTGACAACCAGTGGATTATGTTGACATGACAGTTCATAGGTTCCTGCGGAGAAATAAGACGATAAACACTGTGCTGAGCCATTATCTTAGAACCATTTAGCACCTGTTTATCCTTTCTCTATGTAGCATACAAGACCACAAACATTTCAGAGGTCAACATCAGATTGATTCCTACGTCTACTGAAATAACCCTGAAGGACTCTAAAGAAATAATTCTCAACTCACCAAGCGAGTGGTTGCTTCCACTGACATCAACCAGGTAGACGGTCACTGTTGGCTGCTGATGCTTCCCAGGGGCCAGGCCATCAGATGCCAAGAAAAGGAAAAGTGCTGCTGCAACTCCTGGTCTAGCAAAACACACCTAGGTATAAGCACATGCACCATGAGCAATAGGCTTCCGCAGGCAATCGAGGGATATGCCCATCTTATCTCTGTCATTCTTGAGCACTTCTTCTTTGAACATAAGCACCTTGTTCTCCGTTGCAATGGAAAACATGGAGTGAACACAGCAGCAACCAAGGTGACAGCAAACATCAAAATGCGATCCCTGAGATAAAGATGACTGAGCATCCTTCCTGCTGTTCTATTCATTACCGTTTGTGCTTGTTTGTTTGCTTGGTTTTCGAGACAAATTCTCATGTAGATAAGGCCACACTCGAAATCACTATTTTCCCAAAGATGACACAGAACTCCTGATTATCCTGCCTCCACACTTCAAGTACTGGGATTACAAGCGTGAAATATCGTGCCTGGCCTGAAGTTGTCATTTTTAATTTCTCAAGAGACCACTGGTAGAGGTAATAATCCTCTATAAACTAATCAATACCCCTTCTACGTTAAAGGGCGAGAAATAGACAGAATGACTAATGAATCAACATCTGTACAAAAGCTAGCTTCTTCTGATCTGTCCCAAGATGAGACTAGGTATCAGTTATCCTCCCAGTCTCCCCACCTCCTCTCTCTATTCTCAGATCCTCTCATTTACCAGGAAAACTATGACGCTGGGAGAGAGGCTGTAACGGTTTGAATGAAAATGGCCTCACAGGCTCATATATTTGGATGCTTATTTACCGGCTAGGGAGGTGTGGCGTTGTTGGAGAAAAGGTGACACTGTGAAATATATGAAATGTGATATATATATATATATATATATATGTGTGTGTGTGTGTGTGTGTGTGTGTGTGTGTGTGTGTGTGTATGTATATATATATATGTATATGCATGTGTAGCAGGGTGTGCGTGCTCGACGTGCTCAGTCTGTGTAATGTTCCTTGTATGTATGTCTTCAGGGATTTCCGCTGTGGCTTTTCCTTGGGTTCTGAGCGTGATGCCGTTCCAGTATAGACCATAGTACATCTAATTGGCAGGGACCTCCTCTGGAGTGGGGAAAAGACTAAAAACATGTTTTCCATTTTAACAAGAATTCTTTTTGTCCACAGACTCGGGTTTCCTGAGTCCTGGCAGCACGCTTCCAGTGCTCACTAGCATTGCTGTCTTAATTAGAGTGATTTAACGATTTTCAGTGGTCCAGGCAGCACAGCTCTCCCTTCGTCCTTCCCACCTTTGCGGGAAATTCCAGCCCCACTCCCTTTACACAGTGTCTCCCCTACTCTTTCTTCATTTCCCTTCTTTGAAGTAATAAATATTCCTTCACAACTTCAAAAACATCCAGTCGCACAAGTTACAGCTTCTAAAATGAAAATGAAGTCTTCTATCCCTGGATGGCCAAGGGCTAGACATAAAACCATCCCAAGGAAACCAAGAGTCTAACTCAGAGCTCTTGACCCCAGTAGCAAATGACATCAAAGCCTCCTGGGACCTCCCCATAGCCTCTTCCTTTCCATGTACCACAACAGAGACCTGAGACTGGAAGACAGCTCATTTCCTCAGCCAGGAACAAGAAGGCCTCAGAACTCGAGAGTGGGGTGGCTTCATCAAAACACAGAGCATCTCAGTCTTCCACCCATCCCAAATTAGGTAGCAGAGGTAGGATTTATAGTGGGTGTGGGCTTTTCTGTCCCGAGGGTCCATACCCAAACCTTCTAACGCCGTTTGCATCTCTTAACAACATAGACTTCTGTTCTGTGGCAGTTTGAATACCATGTCACTGTGAAACTTCAAGCCTGTTCCAATGGCAGCGCCTCCGTGCCATGCTCTGTAGGGGGAGGTTACAGCAGCATTTCCAGGCCACAGCTTAAGCAGGAAAACCACAGGTGAGACTTATGAAGGGCACACAGGCAGAAAACTTTGGATTACACAGACAGAGAGACTGGCGGTGATTGGTTCCTGAGAGGCTGCATCTTGGACATTCCCCCTCACAGAGACACAGGAAAGACAGGTGAGCTTAATTCCCAAATGGAGCCCGAGTATATCCAACTACAATCCAAGTACAGCAGCAACTACAGGCATAGAAAGCACATGTTTTACCTCACAACTATTTGCACATCAATAGCAGAGATCAGTTTGAATCTCTACATATAAGAAGTATCAATCTGAGTTCACATAAGGAGAAAGCAGGATTCACTGTCTGGAGAGATAAAGTGAGATGAGACGGAGACATGGAGAGAGACTGAGTTTCTCTGATGAGAAAGAGAACCTGGCAGATGCCCTGCGTTTGCCTCTTAGATACGTCTTTGCTAGCTATGTAAACATAAGCAGTCTGCCTCTGTCTGAAGCTGGGGTTCTTCATTCCCAAAGATAGTAATAGAGAGATTACTTATATCATATGGATACAAGGTAGAGCAAGGGATATCAAACAAAAGCAGACAAGATAACACCTATGAACATTAAGGACTCAAAGTTCATCCATTCTTATTTCCCCCAAAGAAATACACCTCATTCAGTTTATGCAATGGCACAAAAACAGAAGGAATAAAAATTTAAAGTTAAATATATATTACACAGAAAATTACGCTCTTATAAATGTACAATCCAAAAATAAAACTGACCCGCAGGAATATGAACTGGTTCTCCATGTTTGTTTGGGTTCCATAGGTGTTCTCAATGTTTGAGTTCTTGATAGAGTCTGCATAGATCGCATGCCTTGCAGGAGTTCTATAAAACTAGTTGAACTTGGCTCTTGCAAAGATGAAAAGCAACAGCTAAATTCCAGAAAGAAGCTAACATCTTTCAGAAATATGAACAACTTTGAAATGTAAAGATCACTTTCAAAGCAGAGGATTGGGAAAAGAATTTGTCACAAAGAACATTGAAACAACGAGAAGACAAAGGAGAGAGAGTATCAGCAGGTTCGCAGGCAGATGTGATCACGACAGAAAGGCGGGAAGAGGGATGACGTGAGGTAAGTAGATGGAAGATAAATAGTGCAGAGAGAGGTGGTAGAGGGGGCAGAAGACTGAGACAGGTTGATGACAGATGGATATAGGCCAGTACTGATGAGAGGGAGGGACAGACAGAAACAGGAGACAGAGAGGCAGCATAGATGCTTTTTACTCAGAGACTGCATACGAACTCCCAAATTTAACCTAATCACTGGCCACTGAAGAAGAGTTAAGATCGAGAGACACTATTTCTAATTAGAACTGTAGAACCCGCTGGGCGTTGGTAGCACACGCCTTTAGTCCCAGCACTCGGGAGGCAGAAGCAGGCAGATCTCTGTGAGTTCGAGGCCAGCCTGATCTACAAGAGCTAGTTCCAGGACAGGCGCCAAAGCTACAGAGAAACCCTGTCTCAAAAAAAAAAAAAAAAAAAAGAATTGTAGACCCCCATCTCCATGCCTACTAGGCATGGATGTAATGTACACTCAAATACTTCAATGTACAGGTAACTCTTTGTGGTGGTCGCTGAACAGTAGACCCTGAAACTTAAGAAGACTTAAGAAGAACATTTAAAATGCTTCTGGCTAACTCCTGGCTTTTCCCCACACCATTTCATCTCTACTCCTCTATGGCACTTCTCCAAAGGGAAAATGGATGTCGTGGGTCAGAAGAAAGCAGGCAGGTACCGCCTACTATTTGTACAGCATGAGAACACGTTTTCTTGGAGCCCTCACCAAACTCAGCTGACTTTTATGCTTACAGAGGATTTTTAATAGGATATCTTCAGTACATAAAAGTTTGCTTGTGGAATGCAAACCAAGTTTTTTCCCCAGGAATTGTACACAGGAGAACGGCCGCTTTCCCAATATTCTAATCTATAGCACTTCTAGTTTTAGATACGTGGGGATTATAGATCCTTCCCCAAACGGATTTTTAGGACTCCCTCTCCATCTATGGAGTCAAATGAACATGAAAACATCAAGGCTTCCTACAGTTTTAGGGACCAGAGAGGTGCCTTTAAAAGTCACTTGCAGTTTAACAAGGGCCCACCCAAACTCAGAATACAATTATTCTACTATTGGCTGAAACCATGTGTGCTTTTGTAGGTGAAAATTGTCAAACGCTCATGACTCCAGGTGAGTCAATCTAAGGATTTTGTCATCAGAAGCTTTGACAAGGCAGAGATTAGCTTCGAGTTGCAAATGATTTTTCCCGAAGCTTGTGCCTAATCGAGGAAGGGGCTTAGTTGACGACTAAACTCCAGACAGTGAGTTTTACACTTTTGCCTGTTACACTCCTCCTCATGTCTAGGCTCCTGTTCTTCTTGGTATTGGTCACACTCTAGATGAGGTCCAGCTTTATTCCTCTATGGAGCTATAGACTCTAACCACTGTGAATTTATATACTGCTGCTTTTATAAGAGCTGGAATAACTTATCATTATGTACAATTGCTCTCAAGGCTCCCACAATTCTTAGTTAAACTTTCAAAAATGTAAGCTTTGGTGAGTCTGTGGAAGAAGCAAAAATCTGCTCAGATGGCCAGCACAAATCCATCTAGATTGACTCCTCAAGTTCATTTTAGACAAGGCCAAGTCTGTGAAGACTGGGCTACACGGACTAATGGGGCTTCAGTGGAGGAGCAGGAAGGGACAGAATCACATCTGTAGCAGTTGCTGCCGTGGTGTGGCTCCCACATCACCTCCTTTATGACTGTGACACTCACTACAAAGTAATGTCTCTCTTGAAACCACCCCTTTGGTGACCTCCTCATACAGGGTCATGCTGCTTTCTTGGAGAATGAGTGGGAAGGGCAGGAAGCTCATGTCAAGCAACATTTGCTAATACTGTGTAATAGAGTGAGATTGCTCTGAATGGTCTTCCCAGCTTTGACATGATTCTGACACTGTTTTCAGGCCACTCCCATGGACAAATCCTAGTTCCTATACTCCCCAACACACTGACACTAACAAGAATCCTCAGCAGACTTTCTGCATATAGATTTTCATCTCAGACCCTGAATCCCAGGGAACATCCCACCAAAGGTAAAGTCTGAACGCAAGGAAAGGGGTCACAGGATACAGATAGAAACAGTTCTTATGGAATGCAGATAGAAATAGTCCTCTTTCAAACCGAAACGAGGGAAGAGATGGGAGCATGGACCAGGTGGTAAGTGTTCATTCTTCATTAGAAACAGATATTTACGGAGCTTAGAGTTTGTGAAGTAACCCTGATTGCGACAAGCAAATGTTTTCATATGAAACCAGTTGAATTCTAGATTAGCAACAAACAAAT